GTGTTCGGCTATCTTTCATATTTATGTGCACATGATACTGCAGTCGCTGGTGTTCTTTAATCAATGCGCTGAATATCCCTCTCATTTCTCATATCTAATTTTGTTCACGGTCTTTACATCTGATGCAGCTAACTACAGAGCATTCCCTTTTGTTGACTTTTTCATGTTGTGTAGGTAAGCTTGCGAAGATTACTGTCCTTTATTTAAGGATAGCACGAATATTTCCTTTCATCGACGGCGGGCTTAGCATCTGACCTAGTCATTATTGAGTAAGAACTTGGTCATCTTGGGTAGCTTAAACTGTTAAAGGACTAATATTTAAATACTAGTTAGCTTGTGTTGTAATTTGCTCCCAAATCCTGAAAAGAGTCTTCGGTATAGCTTTTGAGTTGTACATAGTAAAAACAGATTCCGGTAGAAAAATATCAGGAAGCTAGAACTATTATGCATGCAAGTGGGCTTAAAAAGTATAAGGAAGTGTGGCAGAAGGATTTATTTTCTGCACCCCATATAAGAGGTGAAATACTTAAGCTGATAGTAGGTGTTTCGCTTAGTTCTTTTGGTCCTCCTGGATTTCGGAAGCCTCGCCCGAATAATGTATTGTGCCTCTCTTGGCATTTGCAGAGCATGCTACAGTTTAATCAGGCAAAATAAGGTAACGTGTGTAGCCCCAAAGTTCTTGTTATTTAGATCTTATGTGGACTATATAGGCTGTAAACCAAGCGAGAAAACAGTTATAGTAATGGGATGTGGAAACCTCAAAGCATTTGGTCAGACAATCAAAAATTATGGACCATAGAACATAGTGTATGGATATATTTGAAAAAAGTAGTTCATTCAAAGCAGGAAATTAACAATCCGCTTGTGTGAAGGGCATGTGCAAAATGATGACTTCAGGCTGTTCCATATAAAATAAGCCGGAATTATGGTCCATTCCGTGAAGAAAAACGGCGAGACTGGAAATAAGCCAAAATACATGCTTATATTGAGGAATCGCGAATGGAGACAATGAATATGTACAAATAAAAATATCCCCTGAATCGAAGCAAAATATCCGTACTCAAAGACTTGTTTAAAGAACACAAAGAAACAAACGAGAAAAGTTATGAATTAGGATGATGGAAAACAATCACATAAAATACAAATTAATTAAATGAATCAATGTACAAATTTTGATGAAAATATGAATCCAAGCGTGACGATAGGGATTAAAGAGGAGTTTTAAAAAGTTCAATCGTAAATGCCTAACAGAGGAAAATAATTTAACTATAAAGAAATAACGTACCCCATACAAATTTAGATGTTAATTTGATAGTTTAGATTATTAAAAAAAATTAAGCGATAACAAAATAAGGTAGATAAAGGATAGTCTTAGAAGTCGGAATTGACTATCTAGGCCATTACTAAAAGGTAAATAGAAAAAAAGGCGCAATAGACACCAGCTCGTAGACAAGAATAAATAGGCACCGACACCATCAAATGAATAAAATCGCATAACTAAATCAATTTACAGGACTGAGAAATCCCCTTTAATAGATTAATAAAGTGAAAATGAAAATAAACTGCACGCAAAATGCGTTTCCTGCGGAATGGGTTTAACTGTAAGTTCGCAAGGATGATTAAATCTATATGGGAACGAATTTTAGCTGTTTGATGAGAGAGGGAATTGAAATGACAAAAGAAAGTCAAGCCAGTCCTGGTCGGGGTCGCAGATGTCGAAATAGAAAGTCATAAAATCAGGTGATTTCAAGGCCTTTTAGTCTCTACGTATATGATTATATGTCAACATATGATTATTTTCAAATGTGAAGGCAATGAACAACATTTGCGTGAAAAGTGGGAAGAAATACTTAGAATATGGCCATATAGAAAAGCACTCCATTTTCCTCAGCCAGAAATGATAGACTTTATGCATAGTTCAGATAAAGAAGTAGAGATTATGAGGGGATAAGAGATGTTAGCATGGATCAGCGAATAAACGCAACTGGGTTTAATCAAGAGGCAACTGGAGTGGCCTGTGTCCCCTTTGTTATTGGTTCTGTCGTGGAATTGCTCGCCTCAGGATCAGGTTCGCTAGTCTGCGAGGCGCCGACAGCTACCGCTGCTGCCTGTAAGAGAACACAACCGGCTCGAGTTGCCTCCTCATCGCCCAGAGGATCGCGATCAGTTGGGGCAGAACGAACAGCATGAGTTGAAGATGAATATACTAGTAGATCAGTTTGATCACAGTGCAGCTGTACCTGTCCAGGACTAGAGGGAGAGCTAGTATTTCGAAGGGTAGTAGGAATGCCAGTTGCGGCGGTCAGGCTAATATGGACTTTGTTAGGAGATGTAATGCTAGAAGCTAGATGATGACCATCCAAAAAAGACTCAGAATTACTAGCTGAACAAGAAATAAGTCCTCCGGGCAGGACGATATTTGAAAAGCCACTATCTAAGTCCATATCACCAGAATGCTTAGTGGAAACAATCTGGGGGAGCTGGGAGGCAACAAGATGAGGTCCAGAAGTGTCAATACCAAAGACCTAGAAGCAAAAAGGGATAAGGTATTATTGCTGATAAAAGATTGTGATAGATAATTAGAATGAGGCATTCAAATAATTATTAAGTTAAATTTCCTCCGGTTTTAATATTTGCTATACCACTAGCAAATAGTATAATGCTCCAATAATCTTTGTAATTCAGAACTAGCGACCGAATTTCAACAGGAATATCTTCATGACTAAATATTATTTATAAGTAGTTTGACCGCGTTTTTGCAAGTCACCGAGTTCTGAAGGGGGTATAGATAAACGTACCTTGTTCGAAGTCCTTTACCCAAGTATTCCTGACAGTTCTCAGTACCGGGTTGTGGACTTTGTACAATCCCAGGCATTTCGCCGTAATCGTGAACGGCATCGTCAGTAGGCCTAGTCATTTTATACAATAAATTAACGGGAGATTACCTAAGATTATAGGAGCTGCTATAAGAATAGACATCAGATAAGGTTTTCTCATCTAAATCCCCCTGAACGCAAAACCAAGTCGGAAAAACGAGGTCAAACCAC